CTCATGGATATCGATAGCCCTGTAACCCTCAACAGCATTGCCAGATCAGAGACACCTATTTGCCCGCTAGTATTACCTCCTCTAAGGGCACACAACATCTCTGCATCTATAGGAGTGCTCTTCTGAGTTGAGTTAGCTTCCTCTCAATTTTTCAATTACTTGGGCCGGGCCTTTGCAAAAGTAATGACCGACACTGAAGGCAGAAACAGAACACAAACTGAAACAGTAACACCAACTGGCAACTGGCAAATGGAAAATTTTGTGCTTAATTTCATTTCCGTTTAGGTGCCATTCCGAATGCCATTCCGTTTGAGGCAAGGAAACGAAGGAGTGGAGGAGTCCAGGGTCCATCGTCCATTCCATACTGCGCAACAATGAAGCGCTTGGGTAACGGTAAATTTCATTTTAAAAGCATTTTCATTTACATTTTGTCCATTTGATTTTGCCATTGAAATTTCGAGAGCGAGAAACTTTTTCTCCGTTCAGCACAGCAGCAGAAGCAGCAGCAGCTACAGCAGCAGAGGTAGGAATTTTATTGTTTTACCATTATTACAGGTGTGTGCCCTGCGCCAGAAGCTGTATGGGAATGCTGTATCCTGGGGCTCTGTGTGTGTATGGGTGATTCCCCCAAAACAGTTTTACGACCCAAACGTTGAGCACTCTGCCCCGACACCGGCACCAAAGTGCGAACCGTGATGGAGCCCAACAGCCGGAATGGAGCTGGCCTCACTAATCCGTTTGCATTTTTAGTGGCGGCCAAATTTTAACGACGCATCTTTGGAATTTGTTTAAGAAATCTATAAGAGAGCAACAGCACATTTCGTTATTGCTACAGCTACGGCTCCAGCTCCTGCTTCACCGCCTGCCCCATGTTTTGGGCTTCCCTGCTCTCCTCCTTTGTGATTTTTCACATTGTCTGTATGATGGGGCTGCTCCTGGGTGCAGGCATTGTTTGTTTTTCCTTGGCTTCCTCTTGTTTGTTGCCTCCTCCATTGGGTTTTTATGCGCGACGCTGGTTGAACGCTTCGCTGCTTTGATTTGCCTTGCTTAACCCCAGTCCACTAACTCCACTGACTCGGCTGACCCCTCTGACCTGTATCGTGGCCCGGGCCAGCGTACGATACTCAGGCCAGTTCCTTGGCCAGGCCAGGATAGAACAGTGGCAGTGGCAGTGGAAGTGGCTGTGAAAGAGGCAGCCCACTCGTGCGCACTTCGTGCTACAAAGCAACAAATCGAGTTTGCGAATAAATGAAATTACTTTTCGGTCTAATGACCATCATCTGCTGATTTTATTAGATTTGTTTCCTTTTGCTCTGTGTTTGTTTACTGCTTCTGCTGCTGTTTCTCTGACATCGCCAGCTCCTGTTTCTTGTCCTGCTGCTGCTGCTGCTCCTGCTCCTGCATCATCGAGAGCTGCCTGCAAACCTGACTAACTGGGGAGCAAACTTTAAATGACTTTTGTGCCCAATCGCTGTAAGCAAAATGTTTGATAAGACGCCGAGTATTCGGGAATGGTAAACCAAGTCATATTACAGTGAAGGATCTTTGGGCGAGCAGGTGACTTGAAGGCTACTATAAGCATCTCTCAAATGGTTGAGTTATGGCTTTTATTTATTCACATTTCATAAAACAACATTCAACGTTGGGTCTTTGTCAGATTTCTAGATCTCAACGCACACAGAATAACTATTAAAAGCTTACAGAAACTGTTTAGAAATAAGGGGAAAACCAATTACAGTGAAATTTAAAATGTTTTTGCCATTAATCACAACAACAGAAAACAAACTTCGGCTTAACGATACCAGGCCGAGGGTACCTAGCGATCAGCAATTGCAAGGAAGCTACTGTAAATGCACACATACATACATATGTAAAACCTCTTCTAGTACCACATATGTATACATACGTTATGTCTGTTAATGTTGACTGCCATGCCGATCATAACAGCGGGTCTGTTAAACTCGTTACAGCGATGTTATGTGTGCATTGGCAATGCTGTTAAGTAACATTAATGCTGCCTGCTAACATTTCTGATCGCCTGATACCTCGGGTCGCAAATTGTGTGGGTTTCTTTTGTTTCTGCAGTTTGTTGTTTTTGTGATTGGTTGTTGGTCTTGTAGAACGTTAAGAATTCTTTACTATACTTACTGACAGAGTTAAAAACAATCTCCAATGTTCCGACACTTATCGCTCAAGTCAGCTTTCACTGTACCAAAAGCCAATATAGGACTCTCATCATGGAAACATGCCTGCCAAGTTTCCGTTTCGTGCTACCCATAATTCTCGCTTGCCATTTGAATACGGATTTTCCCATTCTCCATTTTGGGGATGCTCCTCCTTCTCCTCCTCCTCCTCCTCCTCTTGGCAGTGGTGGGTTCTTCTTGGCACCTGTTGTTATTATTGTTTGTAGTGTTGTTTCTGTTCCTGAAGGTGTTGCTGTCGCTGTCGCTGTGTGTGTTTTGCTCCCTCGTTTCTTGGGCTTTTGCTCGCCCCTTAAGCTGACATTTCATTTTTATAAAACATCTTATTTTTCTAATTTGCAACAGCAGGTGTCGCCATTTTCTGCAATTTTCTGTTTATATGAGAAAAGAGCTTCCTACTCTGCGTCTCACCGTCTCTCTGCTTTGTGCTGCTTCCCCCCACCAAAATTTGTCGCTTTCCCTGCTGTGTGTTGTTCGCTGGCTGGAGCGGGTGTAAATTCAGTTTACTGTAAAATTTAATAGAAAGTGAAATTTTTTCCCAAGAATATGGGGATAAGAACAGGGCCACATCGTGTGTTTGTGTGTGTGTGGTGTGCGTGTTGGGGTGTGAGTGTGTGGATGCGTGCAAATTGGGGTCTTTTGTTTATAGTGTTTCACATGTTTGCATATAAAGTGAAAATTCGTGTAAAGCATGCTGTAAAAATACGTTTAATAAGCTACAAGACGGCTAAAGGCAACGGCTACCCCTCACGCAGTACTTTGCCGAATGTGTTTTTGGGGGTAAGTGGTGGAATGGTAGGTGGAGTGGCCCGTGTGAGAAGTGAGAATCCTTACCGCTCTGACGTCTTTATTAATTCATAAAACGACAAAACGCCAGGTGTCGCTGACGATATGTCTGAGCGCCCAAAAGCTAAGGGATTTTTATGCGTTTAAAAAGTCAAACAACGAAAATTTTCAGAAATTGCTACCAAATTACCAATAAAAACAATGCCAGAGAACACACAAAAACAACAGAGCTACTTGCATATGTATGCACGGGAGAGTTTGCTCCCCAAGATTCTATTGGATTAGGGGCGGGGGGGGTGGTGCGCCTGGTCTACCTACCTAGGATAATTCGTTATCTCTGGGGCGTATCAAAATCACGCTTGATTTACTTTTTCGAGCCATTTAACAAATAAGCAATAAAATCCGTGCATTTCCTTAGTCCGTGTCCAAGTTCCTTTCCCCCACCCCATCCAAGTCGCCACATGCTCCACAGCGTATCCTTTTGTTAGTCCCTGCCACCCCCGGACAGCCTTTTCTCTGTTGTCTTGAGCAAATTGCCATTTTGTCTTCAAATGAGACGTTTATGTTTTTTAATTTTTTTCTTGTTCTCGGGTAATGGCCAATGTCAATGGGTTCAGCAAAGGGCAATCAGGAGGACATCCGAATGCTCAGATGAGGGGCAATTGCTGTGGAGGAGCTCTGTCAAGCACAAAGAGACTTGAGGAAAGTGTTTCCATGGTGAAGGAAAGGAGAAAATGTGTTACAAATTATAGAAAATAACGAATTAAGTTTAAGCAACAATCGGTTTAGCATTCATGCATCATGTATCGAATTTAATCCCTAATTAAATCCCTTTAGAGTCCGCAAATATCCGCACCTTATGCATTTGCTCCACGCAATCAGCACTTCAAATACCAAAATCTGGGCATGAATACGAAAACAGATGGAAGCAGGTGAAGGCAAATCGTAAATCCCTAAATTAGCATTAGCTAATCAAGGTAACCAAATGGCAGTCAGGCAGGTGGTCGGGCAAAGGGGGGAGTGGAAAATCTTTAAACAAACACAATTTTGTGTGCATTTGTGCGTAAGTGCAAGGGTCCGGACCTTAGGCAGCCAGAGGCTATTTGTACGAGTATAATGTATAATCAAGAAGTATGCCATTTGACATTCGAAGGCAGAATTAAATTTGACTGCACATCGTAGTAGCTACCACTCGTAGGTACATTCATCCGCACGGATGGACCACAACACAGACAGAGCCAGGGAGAGAGAGAGAGGAAGAATACACAAGCCACATTTACCAACATTTGCCAACTGCAGTTGCGTTGCTGCCAGTCAAATACGACCAGGAGCAGGACCAGCAGTGGGACCTGGCAGAGATGGAGCTGGCAGCGTCAGTGCAGCGCAGCTGAACCCTGAACCCGAGACCAATTAAATATTGAGAGAAACATTTGCCATTTCGTGCTCCGTTTATAATTAGTCGTAACGTGCTGCTGCTGCTGCAGGAGCAAGGGATAAATACCTGCTTGCAAGATTGTATGTACATAACATATGTATGTATGTGCGAGTATGTATGGTAAAGTCAGCGTCATAATGCTATTTACCAAATGCTATTGATTGGCACCCCACACCGCCTGACTTCAAAGCAATTTTCTTGTCACTCCAACCAAAATGTAAATGTTTTATAGTCAACATAATCACAACGTACATCAAAGGACCCAAATCCGCACAGCTGCCAACTCAGGCAGCCCAGGCAGCCCGACAATCAATCGAATTGCGGAAAATCAGGCAATATTTATACGAATATATATGAGAGCGGGGGGTTCCGCATTCGATTGGAAAACAAATTTTGATTTGGCAGGTGAGTTGGTTGAAGCGAGCTAAATGCCAAAATCTGTGGAGCACCGAAGGAGACAAGTAGAGGGGAATTAGCTCATAATAGTTATAGAAAAGTGTAGGAGAGCAGAAAAGTTTTAATTTAAATTCAATCTATGCATAGATGAAGCTAGAAGTTTTAATGGAAGGCAAGATAAATCCATCCAACAAACTTATTTATTGGGAATATCATTTACATATTTAAACCATTGAAGTTTCAAGCCAAATTACAACAATGTGCTTGATAAGATTATAACCAAAATTTAGACTGGAACTGGCAACTGGCTAGCAGGCCAGTTGATAAATTAACTGAATCATATTGGGAGTGGTGCGCGTTCGGTCAGTGGGTTGGGTGGGTTCTAACATTGATGTTTCAAGCCAAATTACAATGTGTTTTAGAACGATCAAAAGAGATGCTGAGACTAAGACTGAGAGCAGGCGAGCTGGTACAGGAACTGGATAATGGTGCGTGTGGGGCGACCGGTCATCTGATCTTTGAGCAAATAGGGCAATGGGTTGGTTCTGGTCAGCATGCCGGTGCCACGATTATCCAAATGCGCCCAATCGACGCAAGGGACGAGGCTGCGTAGGATGGCAGCGGCCAGGCAGGAGGTGGCCGGTCCACGGCCACAGTTGCTCAGATCGTAGGTGGTGTTCTTGGTGACTATCTGGTGGTAGTACTTGAAGAGCGGGAAGCGCCATATCCGATCACCAGTTATGCCGCCAGCCTTGCGGAATTCCTTGTGCACAAAGTCCGAGGTGGTCCACAGCCCAGTGGCGCCTCCACCGAGTCCATAGTTGACGCCTTGAGCCACCGTGCCGATGTCAATGATCATTTTGGGTTTGTGCGTGGCCTGGCCGTAGAGCAGAGGATCGGCCATCACCACAACAGGCGCCTTGCCCACATCCTTGATGCCCATGGTGATGCCATTGAGCAGGGTCACCACATCGCCACACTTGACCGCCATGCCGGAGGGCATGTGCTCGCAGAGCGGAATGATCGCCGATATGTTCATCGGTAGCGAGAGGGCAGAAGCGGCTCGGAGCACGCCCACACAGACGGCAGCTCCAGCCAGGGCGCCGCGATACTGGTCCATGCCCGTCTTGCCCTTCAGACAGAGGCCGCCACTGTTAAAGGTCAAGCCCATGCCGAGTAGCAGAATGGACTTCTCCTCCGGGGCAGTGCCGCAGTAGGCGCACTCGAGCATCAGGGGCGGCTCGCAGGAACCCTTGGCGACCATTAGGAACGACGACAGGCCCATGTCCTCGATCCAGTCCATGGAACGGACCTCCACCGTCACGCCGCAGGGGCACAGAGCATCGACGGCAGCCTGGGCGAAGATGGACGGGGTCATCATGTTCGCTGGCATATCGGAGAGACGACGTGCCAGATTCTGGGACTCGGCCTTGAACAGGCCACGGGTCCAGGCCTCACGGTCCCCCTTGCCATACAGGTCCAGCTTTGGCGTCTTTGTGCGATTCTTCTTCCTCTTGTTCATGTTGAAGCGCCACACGGCCAAGGAGGCGCCCTCGGCGGCCTGCTCTGGATAGCCCATGCCATCCACGTGCACCTCGCTCATTCCCTGCAGCTGTAGGGCGCGAGCGCCAGCACCGGCGGCCAAACGGACATTCTCCATGCCCATATCCATTTCCTCCTCCTCATCGAAGGCGGCGTCATAGTCCCCAACACCCACGACGGCAATCGCCTGGTATTCACCCTCTATGCCGCTGAACAGCAGCCCCTTGCCCGGGCTGCCGTCCATGTTTCGTTCACGGATCCACTGTATCACCTTACCGCCCACCGAGTCGTCCAGGGTCACAGCATTCTCTGTGGTCTTTGGCGGCTTGTCGCTGTCCCTCTGGTAGACCCCGACGACCACGCCCTTCGGCTTCTTGCACTTGGTCGCATAGGTACGCAGGCAACTCGGTGCCTCGCGGATGGTTCTCTGAAACGAGAGCAACCGACTGGCCGAACGAAACAGCAACAGATCGCGATACGAAGGCATTTTTGGAACGCGACTAAAAAGAACCCAAGACCAAAACAAATTCAACTAAAAAATATTACGAACAATTTTGCTGGCTAGAAAATTTTGTTGTGTGACACTACTAGAATTTGTGTAAAACGAAAAATTTAACGAACAAAATTTGTATTTGTGTTACGATAAACGTTGTGCTCCGCTTAACAGTCCACTACTGAATAACTTATTCTATTCTAATTGAGTGAGAAGTCTGAAATCTAAAGCCAAATCTGCTTGGATCGACCAAAAAATATATATTTTATGAGTATAGATTTTGGAGAAACTAAGAGGCTTTGAGAAAGTTGACTGGATGCAAAGAGTCTTCCCTTTCCATCTAGATTTTGATTAGAATCTCTGAGGCAGTCGTTATGGCGATGCTGCACCTCCTCCTGCCATGGCCATGTTCAGGATTTATAATAATTGCTTGCTTGACGAGGGCGCACCACTATAAAACGCATAAAATAATGACAAAAAGAGAAGAAAAAAAATCATATGAATTTCAATTAAGTAGGTCCGGGACCTGACCGGACCGGAATGGACCGTACCGCGCCTGGCCATGGCCTGGCCAAGTGCACAGCGATAATGGCAGCGAATGGAAATAATTAATTTTCCAAACCAGTGGGCCAACGCTAATTAAGCTTAATTTTTGGTGTTGCATAACTAATTAAGGTGGGAACAGCGCAACCGTAAGAGCCGCAGATGCTATGCCCAGGACTTCTACTGGTATTCGAATTATGTTAAATTGTTGCACTCTTTAATTCCATTTTGTCTGCGGGCAGACGACAATCTGTAATTGAAAAGTATGCTCTTGCTTATCTTTCGACTATTTGAATATGGAATTCAATTTAGTGTCGCATAAGCGCTGGAATATGCAAATCTGTCCAGGGACACTCCTCCGCACAGACGAGTGTGTGTTTGCCTTCTGGCTTTGGGCAAGGTGAACAGAAAAGGTTACATGTGTGTGTGTGTGTGTGTGTGTGTGTGTGTGTGTGTGTGTTTGTGTGTGGCTGGCCAAAAACCAAATTGGAAATTTGCTTATTTCTCGCCTTTGCGCTTGACCTGACCCAAAAGGGCAAACCCCAAAAACACACGAACAAACTTTGTTCACATTGTCCGCCCACCCGTGCACACAGATGAAAGGATAGGTGGCCTGCCGGCGACTGTTAGTTTTGTCCTTCGGCCTGTTTCCTGCTGAATGTTGAATGTTGTAAAATATTTGCCCAAGTTGAATAGTGCAAAAGTATTTGATTTCGACTTAACATTTGTCTATGCGCATTCGTCTGGAATTATGCAATGTGTTTGCAGATAAGAAAAATTTCAATGAAATTGAAATTATTATGCATTTTCATTTGTCTGCTATTTGCCAGGTATTTCTTAGCCAATCCATTCCGCAACCATTACACGTGTGGGTAATTGCATAACATTAAATTTGAATATTGTTAGAGTTGGATGACCTTTTGTTATATTTAATCTTTCCATCACAGACCAACAGACCAATTTTTGATAATTTTTTTTATTAAAATGTATTTTTGTTACAACTAAACGCTTAAAAACTAAAGATTTTTGTTCGCAAATTACCTTAAGTACATAATAATGTCTGAATATATTTTTAAAGAGACTAAAAACCAAGAAATTCGTAACCTTTTTTTGTTTCTGTGGGCAAGATGGAAGGAGGGTTAAATGATAAATGTTGAAAGGACAGTACACATACAATACATACAGACAGGCATAGAGTTTGATGTTATCCTAAGTTTCAATTGGGATTATTACGTTATGATGCAAGTATTTGTTTATATAAGCTATGGACTGATTGGACTCTGATTTGAGTTTAATTATTTTGATGCACATTAGGCGAGTATTGCTTGTGGTTTCGAGGCTTAAGTAGAGATATTTCCTATAACTTTAGAACCGTCTTCGTCTCCGTATTCGTATCCGCAATGGCGATCTGCGTGTGTACAACTTTTAAGTTTAAATATTGTTTATTTTAGATTGTATTTTATTTATATTGTGATTAATGCAATTAGGCAGTTCATAAATTTATCAAAACTTAACATCACATTGCTTCTTCGATTACATTCGAGGTTTGCTTTTCCATATGCGTTTGAAAATTCTGTACCTGTACGAAATCGAACGATTATGGGTTAATACGAGTACAGTACATAGACGATTACGATTACGAGTTCGAGTTCGAGTAATGCTTTAAAATGCTCAATGCTCAATGCTCAATGCTCCGTTTTGTGCGTATGCGCGGCAATTGTTTGTAGCTAACTATGGGCTGTATTTATGTTTTTTTTTTATATGTGTATACTTTATTATTAAATGTGGCTTGTGTATAGTAATGTGTGGGTATGGTTTTTGTATGTTGCTGACGAAATGCACTCAATGGAAGTTGATACGATTAATACCCTCTATAAGTCTAAGTCTAAGTCGAATGCATTGTAAATGCCTCTGGTAAATGCATTATTTATTAGGAAGTGTTGTTTTTGTTTTTGTTTTTGTCATGTTTGTGTTCATTTCTGAAGTGAATATGTCTATGATGATGATGCTGATGATGATACGACGAGAAGTCCTTGTGTTGCAAGTTGCAAGTGTGTGTGCGTGTGCGTGTGCGTGGCATAATATAATCTCTCTGCGGCTGCGGCTGCGGCGGCATTCGATTTACTAAAACTGTTTGGACGATGTGCTCGATGGCGGCATATTGAGAATGAAACTCTCCTCATGATATCAGACATTGGGCTTGCGGAAGATCTCATTCGGATGCTGATTGCTGCTAAAGTTCTGTCGCGTCGAGCATTGCTATTGCGTATAGGGAGAACCAAAGGTAAAATCATAATTAGATGTGTGGTTTTGTCATGGATATTGCTTTGTGATTGCCTGCCATTAGGTGCAAAGTTGAGGGGAGAACCTTAAGTGATTGCATTTTAATTACATTTCCAATGCATCTCCCACCCAAGCAGGCAATTATCATGCATTTGGGTCACACCACCCGAACACCACCATAGGTGAGGGTGGTTCACTTGGGGGTGGTGGATAATGATAACTTAACTACCTTACACCAGTTTGTGTATTCTCACTTATTTTTTCTCTCTTTGATTTGACGTCGTTTGGACATGGCCCGAGGGCTATTAAAATAATTGCTACTGAAATCATTTATTATGGCATGTGTCTGGGTCGGACCATAAACCTGTCGCACCGAGTCCACCCAGAACCACGGGGGGTGGCCCTCATTATCACTTACCGCTTGCTTCTTTTCCCAGGACTTCATGGCCGTCTTGTACTTTTCGAACTCGTGGCACCAGTCCGAGTAGATTTTCTGATAGTCATTGCTCTTGTTCGGCGGAGTGCATCTGTGCCAAGCGCGGGGGGAAAACGAGAGGAAATGGAAAGGAAACATGGAAATGCGATTATAATGAGCGCATAATTACGGAATGCCCGCTACTCACCTGTGGGCATCCACTGTGATGTTGTAACTGCAGAGCAGAGAGCCACCCAAATGGCAGTCGTAGCGTCCGCCATCGGCCTCATTCACGGACACCACAACCAGTCCCCGTTCCGTCGTCTCAATGTACTTTGTGGGTGAATAATGGATCTCATAGCTGGAAACCAATGACATAGTCAAGTAATTGAAGATAAATCACACTTAAAACACAAAGCCTTACCGGCCCTTATCCTTGGAGTGATGGTACCAGGTCACCTGTTCGTTCTTCAGTACCTCGGGAATTTTGACAAAGCATCCCAGGTGCACGCTCTGGCCGTAGGTCACCACAATCTTCTTCTTTAGGACACTCGAATCGCAAATGTCGCTCGTCTCATTGGCCACATCCTGTGGGTGGTAGGCAATCACATGTCATTTCGCCACTTTACACTCCCCACCGCGCCACTCACCTGCAACAGATCCAGCTCGTAGGGGCGGCACGTATTGGCCTCCTTGTCCCAGCCGCAGTACGGATCACGGACACACCGGAAGCAATTGTCGTAACGGCGATTGCACATGGCCAAATCGATTTGCTTGATACGGTGATCGGTGCCGATGTAGAGGCTCTTACGTGTCTGACTGATTTCCATCACCTGAATGGCCTCATTGGGTGCAACCTCAAAAATGTCCAGCAGCTTCGAGAGCGACTCACCGTTCCGGTAATACTGCACGATTTTGTATATGCGACCCAGATTGGTGCCCACGTAGTACACAATGTATTCCTGATTGAGTATATCGATTTTGATTCTGCAACAAAAGAGCACACATGAAAAGGTGTTTTAATCTCTACGAAAATATACTCCTTCACGTATTGCATGTTAATAATTAGCTTTATAAACAGATTAATTACTTTAAAGCTTTTCATTTATTCACCCAAACATTGATTACTCCTTCTGCAGTGAGATGCAGCCTTGATTCAGCTCAAACCATTTAACTTTAATTACTCACTGAATATTAAACATGCGGAATGGAGCTCTAAACTTGACTTGTACTAAGGCTGAAGATTTAAACACTTTTCTGCCTTGTTCAGACATCAGTGCAGGAGTGAAAAATTACCAATTCTTAGTGCTCTAATTACTGGAAATTTTAACTTTATGGTACATTCAATTCCTATCAATTTGTTACTTGTATCTTACAACCCCACATAAAAAACCCTTAAGAATATTTCTGGCATTACTCACTTGTCGACGACGAGCTTGGTGAAGACCAAATCCCTTTTATAATAGACAGGATTGTTGTGCTCATGATTTACGGCTTTGTCCATGAGCGGATGGGATCTGATGAAATTCAGTACTGTATCTGGCAGATTTGATGTATCGTTGACGCATGTACCGGGCCTGGGCTCGGGTACACGCGAATTGAGTACCGGCAGCCATGCGGAATTCGATGAGGATTGCTCCTTGAATTTACCTGCGCGGAAAAGGTACACAAAAAAAAACAATTGTAGAAATATATAAAGTGGAGGGATATAGCAAGGGGGAGCGCTGCAATTGAAGATTTAAATCTACGACGAGCAAAAGGTGTCAGCTGTGGCCCCGCTTGCCACTAAGCTGTCAGTGGAGCCGGCGGAGCCACATATCTACACGTATATGCATGTGTGGCTATAATCCATTCAAATGGATTTTCTAATGCGATTTATGTTGCGCACACGGCAAACGGATTCACACAGAGGGGAGCTCGAGTCGAGTCGAGTCGAGTCGACTTCACTGAAAATTACAAAACACTCAACGAAGAGGATGGAAATGGAATCGCAGTCACATCAGAGCTACGAAACAAATGTGTAGATTGCAAAATAAAGTTTTGCCAATAAGTTGCATTTGTCGTTTTCCAATTCCAATTCCATTTCCATTTCTGGGCAAGCAATCCACTTTTGGGGATGGCCGGACCAAACGGACAATGGAGAAAATTGCACGTCAATGCAAGGCGAAACGTTGACAGGATCGGCATGGCCAGCTCCCACAGATAAGCAGATTTCCCTGTAGATAACCAAATCCGGATTCCGTTTGAAGAGCTTACCATTGAAGGCAGCTTGAATCTCGTTAATGTGAAAACTGCAGACGGCCGATCCAATCAGGCCATTGGTGCTGGTCGTGAATGTGGCATAGAAGCGGGTCTTGTCCGATGGCAGCTGGTACACCGACTGGATCTCATTGAAGTAGAACGGGAACTCCCCGGAGATGCTGCAGTTCAGGCGCGCCTTCAAATACGTAGCCCAGTTGTGGGCCAGCAGATTCTTGCCACCGACATCCTTCTTGCAGACACGAGCGATGCGCGAGTACACGGCCTTGCCACAGTTGATGTACTCCACGGCCGTTTCGCGGAAAAAGAAATACACATAGTCCCCAATATCAAAGGATCCAACAAAATTGGGTTCTGTAATGCAAAGCAAAGAAGCGAAAAAATATGATTAGAGCTGTGTTCTGTTCGAGCTGTGATGTACTTACTGTCCAACCATTTGGAATCGTATTTCAAAGTCCGCTTAAACTTGTACTCCAAACGTTTGGCCGATGTATTGTATAGATCTGTGCGAAAGATAACCGTATCCGCTTTGGTGAACTCCGCATTGGTGCCCGAGTACTGCAGATAGAAGATCAAAATGAATGCCATTCTTGATTTTCAGACAATACATTTCCACTTACCAAACCCGGTAGACCACCGGGATTGCCATCTTCTACATAAATGGCAGTGGAGTTGTCCAACGGATCGTAGGGACACTTGGCAATGCCCAAACCCACACCAATCACATACTCGGAGCGGGGCAAATGTGTTAGATTGGACTGTGGGGTTAAAGTTGTATAGAAAATAATTTAGATATGTGTAAAATGTAACTCAAAGGTGTGTCATGTGCGTGTGCAGTAGATGGCCTTTGGATTAGATGTGTTATCTATGCATGAATAGATGCTTCAGTCTATCGTAGAAGGCAACTGTTGATTGCCATCTAAAGTCAACTGTCGGAGGCAATTCTGTGCCATTCACTCAACGGCTTCCAACCACTCTGGGCTCATCATGAATGGGGAATTGCTCTTGGCTTTTGGCTTCTTCTTCTTCTTCTTCCATCTATCCAACCAGCCATCGACTGCGTGTGTGTTTGTGTTTGTGTGTGCAACTTACATAGATAACGTAATCCTTGGGATTGTGGGCATTGGTGCCGCACACATAGAGCCTATCGCCCTGCTCCATTGACTGTATGACGCGTACGTGATTTTTGCAATCGAAAACCTGCAAAAAGATATCGATTATGGTACCTCATGGCCAGGATAGAAGCATCGAGGAGCGAGTAAACCTGCAGGGATATCCTCAACAAGGGTTTCGACAATGTTGTGGGAGCTATAGCTATAGGTATGGGAGGGAGAATTTTCAATTTATTGTGCCGTGGCATCATCTGTTTTGGCACACAATCGCAGCAATGTCAAAATTGTTGCATCCCCCGTGTGCGTGAGTGCAGCGAATTTTGTGGCAAGAACGGAGCACAAATTGCAATAGCACGCGTCGCTGCCGAAGCTAAATCAATTGGCAACAATGCAACGCGAATGGGGACACCAGAAGAGGCACCATTATGGGGCAACAGAGGAGGTGGCAAAGGGTATGCCAGGAGCAGCAGCAACGGCAACGGCAACAATGGCAAGTGGCATCCCTGCAGAAATTACAGCCACAGAGGCAGAGAGTGAGAGAGAGAGGTGGGGGGGGGGGGGGGGGGGGGGGGGGAGGGGAGGCCGGTATTGTTACGGTTAGGCCACGCCCTCCTGATTGTGGTGGGGTGGCGAGCGGGCGGATTGGGCGTGGCGCGGACCTGGAGGAGCACTACGCA